TGTGTGCTGCTATGAAGCTGGGAGCTCTCCCACCAGTATGCTCAATACATGCTTCAGCCAAGCTTCCAGATTAAGACAGACTAGGAAGGAGAGGCGAACTACTTCTGAATGTATACCTTATGAGTGTTGTTGTTTTTGTTAAGTGCTGTCGAGTTGGTTCCGACTCATAGCGATCCGATCCTGTATAGGTTTCCGAGGAGTGGCTGGTGAGCTTGAATCACCAACCTTGCAGTCTAGCGCATTAACCCACAGCGCCCACCAGAACTTTTACCTTGTGAATAGCAGTGGACTCTCGTCAGAAACAGAAGCAGAAGATGAAAGCATGAGAAGCAGCAGGTGTGTTGAAACTGAGCCCCACAGGGTGGAAGGCATTTAAAATATAACAAGGGGACAGCAGCTTCCTCGAAGTAGAGTTGACTGTGATGACATGAATGGAGTAAAGCTTTCAGGACCTTCATTTACTGATGGGGCAAGGAGCAGGAACAGCTGCAAACGTCTATTACTCATCAGAACCTGCAGTGTACGAAGTATGACTCTAGGTATCTAGGCATTAGCTGAAATGAACTACATTGCCCTTTTGGAATCAGACCATCCTAGTTTACTATGCCGGGAGTGATAAATTGAAGAGGGTTGATTGACATCATGTTCATTGTCAAAAAGAACATTACAAGATCTATCTTGAAGTACAACACTGTCTGTGATAGGATGATATCCATTGACCTACAAGCAAGACCAATTAAAACCAGTTACTCAACTTTATGCACAAACCACTAAATTCAATGATGAAATTGAAGAATTCTGCTAACGTCTTCATTCTAAAATTAATCAAATATGCAATGAAGATCTATTGATAATTACTGGTGATTGGTAATTGGAAACAAAGAGGAAGGACCAGTAGTTGGAAAATATGGCCTTGGTGATAGAAAAGATGCTAGAGATGAGGTGACATAATTTTGTGGGACCAACAACTTCTTTGTTGCAAATACCTTTTAAAACAACATAAAAGGCGATTATATTCATGGACCTCACCAGATGGAATACACAGAAATCAAATTGACTACATCGGTGTAGACGGTAAATATCACCAGCCAAAACAAGACCGGCACAGACTGTGGAACAGACCATCAATTATTCAGATGCAAATTCAGGCTCAAGCTGAAGAAAATGAAAACAAGTCCGCGAGATCTAAAATATGACCTTGAACATATCCCACCTGACTTAGAGACCATCTCAAGAACAGATTTGATGCGTTGAACACTAATGACTGAAGACCAGAGGACTGTGGGATGGCATAAAGAGCATCAGGAAGAAAGCAAGAGGCCATTAAAAAGACAGAAACAAAAGACTAAGATCAATGCTACAAGAGACTGAAACTTTCTCTTGAGCATAGCAAGCTAAAGCAAATGGAAGAAATCAGGAGAGAACAGAGCTGAACAGAAAATTCTACAGGGCAGCTTGAGAAGACAAAGTAAAGTACTATAATGAAATGTACAAATACCTGAAATTAGAGAAGCATTTTTCAAACTGAAAGAACTGAAGAAAAAAAAAATCAAGTCTCGAGTTGCAATATTGAAGGAGTCTCTGGGCAAACTAATTGAATGATGCAGAAAGCATCAAAAGACAATGAAGGATACACACAGTCACTATACCAGAAAGGAATGATTGACGTTCAGCCATTTCTAGAGGTAGTATGATGGTCAAGAACTGATGGCACTAAAGGAAGACGTCCAAGCTGCAGTGAAGGCGTGGCAAAAACAGGGCTCAAGGAATTGATGGTTTACCAAGTGAAAGCTTTCAACAAACGGATGAAGCATTGGAGACACTCATTTGTCTCTGCCAAGAAATTTGTAAGACAGTTACCTGGCTAACTAACTGGAAGAGATCCATATCTGTGCCTATTCCCAAGAGAGGTGATCCAACAGAATGTGGAAATCAGCCAACAGTATGGTTAATTTCACACACAAGTAAAATATTGTTGAAGATAATTTAAAAAGGGCTTCAATAGTACATTGAATGGGGACTGCCAGAAATTCAAGCTGGATTTAGAAGAGGATGCCATTGCTGGCATCAGCCGGATCTTGGCTGAAAAATGTTTCCTTGTGCTTTATTGACTATGCAAAAGCTTTCGAATGTGTAGATCCTAAGAAACTAACAGTAGCATTGCAAAGAATGGGTATTCCAGAACACTTAATTGTGCTCATGAGAAACCTGTACACAGACCTAGAGACAGTTAGTTGTTAGAATACTGAGTGGTTTAAAATCACCAGATTTATTCAGTCTGTATGTTGAGCAAATAAACTGAGAAGCTGGATTATACAAAGAAGAATCTGGCATTAGAATTGGAGGAAGACTTATTACTTGCAATATGCAAGTAACATTACCTTGCTTGCTAAAGGTAGAGAGGAGTTGAAATGCTGATGAAGATCAAACACTACATCCTTCAGTGTGGATTGCACCTCAATGTAAAGAAAACAAAAATCCTCACCACTGGACCAATAAATAGCATCATGATAAATGGAGAAAAGATTAAAGTTGTCCAAGACTTCATTTTGCGTGGATCCACTATCAACCCTCATGGAAGCAGCAGTCAAGAAACCAAATGATGTGTTGCTTTAGGCAGATCTGCTGCCCAAGAGTTCTTTAAAGTATTCAAGAGCAAAGTCATCAGGTTGAGGACCAAGGTGCACCTGACCCAAGCCATGGTATTTTCAGTAGCCTCATATTCATGTGAAAGTTGGACAATCATTGGGACAGACTGTAGAAGAATCAATAGGCTTCGATTCTAATGTTAGAGAAGAATATTAAAAGTACCATGAGCTGTCAGAAGGACAAACCAATCTGTCTTGCAAACAGTGCAGCCCGGATGCTCTTTAGAAGCCAGGATGACAAGACTTCAATTCTCATACTTCGGACATGTTATCAGGAGGCACTAGCCCCTTGAGATGGACATCATGCTTGGTAATGTGGAGGGTCATTGAGAAAGAGGAAGACCCCCAGTGAGATAAATTGACGGAGTGGTAGCAGCAGTGAACTCAGCCAGAACAATTGTGAGGATGGCGCAGACTGGGCTGTGTTGCGTTCTGTTGTGCCTGGGTTCAATATGAGTTGGAACTGTCCGTTGGCACCTAACAGAAACAAGAAACCCGGAGTGTGCTGCTGGGGGAGGCCTGGCGTGGGGCTGTGGGATCAACACTGGACTGCTGATGACGAGGTCGGTGTTTCCAAGCCACCAGCTGCTCCCTGGAAATCCTGTACAGGGTCGCTCTGAGTCGGAACACACTTGATGGCATTTAACCACCACAACAGCAAGTTTTGCTTGTGGTTTAGAGGAGCTCTGGTGGTGCCCAGGGGTCAGCATTGGGAGGTCTATAGGAGAACCATGTGGTAGTCTACGTCTGTAAAGGTTCTCAGCCTTGGGAACCCTCTGGGAGAGCGCTGTCCTGTGGGCTTGAGTCAGGTGGATTAGACAGCACTGGGTTGAGGCTTCTTGTTAATAATTTTGTTTTAAATAGTGAGTTATTTGTTCGAGTTACTGAAAATGAGATTTTTCTTTCATTTTTATCTTGGTGTGGTGGTGTTTGTCTGTTGTCAGGTCGCTTCTGACTCCTAACGACCCTGTTTAGGGTTTTCGAGGCTGTCAATCTTCATGGGAGCAGAAAGCCTCATCTTTCTTCCACAGAGCAACTGGTGGATTTGAACTGCTGGCCTTGTGGTTAGCATCCCAACACTTAGCGCGCTACATCAGTGGAGCTCCTGTGCCTAGCCGTTTCTGAAGGTCTTTTTGTAGATCCGAGTCCCTGTCTGCTTCCACATCCCTGCTTTAATACGGACCCTCTTCCAGCGCTTCGTGTGCAGAAGGGCCATGGCTAAGAAATTCTCTTGAGCTTTGTCTGCCTGAATGAAGGCACGGTTACACTTTCATTTTGAAACACACTTTTTCTGAGTTTCATTCTGGATTCACAGTAGCGTGGGCACTCGAAAGATTCCTGCTCCCACGTTCTGCCGGCTCGCGTGTTTTCTGACGAGAAGTTGGCTGTGGCCTTCTGGGTGCTCCTTGGGGTGGACTCTGTCCTGTTCTCTGGCTGTCTTCAACAGTTTGTCTTAGTGTTTTGTGTTTTGCCATCAGAATGTGATGTGTCTGAGTGTGGACACTTCTGGTCTGTGGGCATTTATTCCCCTCGGGGTCCTCTGAGATGCTTGAATTTGTGTGATTCTTTCTGTTCATCTGATTTGCGTTTTGCTGAACTTCTTGTTTCCTTGGGCTGATACTTTTCATCAACTTGGGAGCATTCTGGTCTTTATTTCATCGAGCTCCCCTACCTCCCACCACATGCCTCACCTTACCTTTATGCAGTGGGGAGCTGGCTTGGCTCCCTGGGGGGGGGGCATTAACTGCTAGGGCTGGAATCTTGGGGGGGCATCCACAAATGCATGGTGGTACCTGCTCGTCCCCTGGCCCCCATCTGTTCTGACTCTGTCCCTGCCCATGTGTCTGTGTTTCCTGGGAACTTGAGAACTCCTCAGTTCCTTCGGACCCTCATGCCGTTGCCCCCCGCCTCCCACTTCCTCCATGTGCTCCAGTATTCTCACTGCTTGGCCTGGTCCTCTCTGGGTCTGGGGCTCCACAGCGGTCACCGCCGGACAGGCTTGTGGGAGGGGGAGGCAGAGGTTTCAGGGGCCTTATCCCACCTCCAAAAGTCCTCTGCCATGGGCTTCACCTCTGTTTGTTCTCCCCTTCCCCACCTCACGCTGCTTTCTCCTCTTTCTATATCCCCCCGCTGTGTGTCCCCCTCATGCTCATTGACGTCTGGTTCTGGGTGTCTGTGTGCCCCTCCTCATCGATGTCGGTGGCACATGTTTTCCTGGGCTGCATTTCCATGGCCTCCCCTGTGCTCATCTCTGTCCCATCTGTTTGTCCTTCCCTTCCTATTTCTCACTGTCTCATCCCTTTGCACTTCTCTCTCATGGATTCCCGGCCCCCCACCTGTCTCACCCCCCAGGCACACGATACAGCAGGAGACCAATGCCACTGTGGCCTCCAGCACCAGGGCCCTGAAGCAACTGTCGGAGCTCCTGTGTGGCTCCTCCCAGGTACGTCTCCTGAAATGAGGCCATGGAGATTTCAGGAAAAGCAACTGGACAGTGTCCATGCGGTGGGCGAGTTGTGCGGGAGGCAAATTGTCCTTTAAGAAGCTGGTGTAAGGAAAGCAGACTCAGTCCCCAAAGCCATGTCATGTGTGTAAACCCAACAGTAACGGAAATGACAGGGTGTGACAGAGAACGGAAACCCACCTCCAGGGAACACTGGACCCCCAGGCTGAGCGGAGACAGGACCTTCCTCCTGAGGCCTCCCCAGAGCTGGGGCCCTGAAGTAGGACTTGTCACCTCCTGCGTGTACCGGAGCCCTGTGAGTGGGGACAATAGCAGGAAGGACGGCAGCTGTGAGAACATCTGTCTGTGGATACAGCCATCCTGTGACGGCTCTGTCAGGGCAGCACCCGAGGACCGAGAGCCCCCCGAGCTGCCGCACCGGATTTGTTAACGTGCACAAACACACCCTCTGGGCCTAGGGGCCTGGAAGTGTGAATGCAGGCTCAGCTCCTGTTCCTCAGCGCCTGTCTCTGCTTGCTTTGTGCCCAGTGCGCTCTTTCTGTACCTCAACGGTGGTTGGTCTGCAACACACCCACACAGACCCGCCGTGGGATGGTTTAGGGTTAGGACTCACAACACATAATCTTGGGGGACTCCTCACCCCTTCTTACAGGGAGGGAAGTCTGGAGCTTGGGAACAGCCCTCAGGGGGTGTGAATGCAGGTGACAGGAAACTGGGTCTTAGAGCCCGGTGGGAATCCGCTCATAGGGAAGGCACAATGCGGCCATAGGTGTGGGGGCTCGGTAGCTGCTCATGGCTGGTCTGGGCTCAGCAATGCTGGCTGCTGTGTGAGCAAAGCCCTGGCAGAATAGGATGCCTTTCAGGAATAATGACTACCACAGGCTGCCCCTCGGTCTCAGTGTGGTAGATGGTAGGTATGTGTGTGTGTGTTGTGGGGGTGACAGGGTCCATGTTGGGTCCACATCCAAGGGGGTGGGGGATAATTCTCATCTAATAGGACGGCTATGGGGGTGGACATGAGTCAGTGCTCAGAACAGGGCAGCTGATGTGTTCTGTGTGTGCTCATGGCTGTAGTGTGGATGGTATCTGCCGTGATGGTGGCTATGCCTACAGAGACATGGTGGACGGTTGGTTCTGAGGTGGGGGGTAGATGGTGAGGGGCCTGCCCCTGACCATGGCTGGTGCTGGTGGGAGATGCTGTCCACAGCCAGGAGGGGCATGAGGGCACAAGGTGAGTCGGGGTTGGAGGACTCTGGGATGCAGATGAGTTGTCGGCTCCTGCTGTAAGCCTCACTTTTGTTTTTGCAGCAGGAACGTCTTCAGATGGACCGCCTGAAAACCCAGCTGTCAGATGCCATTCAGCACTACGGAGCTGTCCAGAAGGTGAGACCCGTGCAGGGCCAGGTCTCAGGTCAGGCGAGTCGAGCTGGAGCCCCAGCCCTGTGGGCCCCCCTTCTGGCATTTCATCTCTGGACTGGCCCCAGAGCAGGGAGAGGGACCAGCCTGATGTGCGTGTCATAAATGACCTTCACTTTCGGAAGATGCTTCATTCAAAGGGCCTCCCAGGAGGTGGATGAGCAGTTGAGGGCCCAGAGACCACAGGGCCGAAGGGTGTTGCTGGGAGTCAGATCCAGGACACCTGCTTTCTCGCTGCAATTTCTGGGCTTTGGGGTTACCTGGCTGCCTTGGTTTGTGCTTTCTAGTCCCTTAGTTTTGTCCTTTTTCCAACAGAAAGTTGCAGACAAGTCCAGAGCACTGCTTCCCACGGCCCAGAGAGGCGGCAGACAGGTGGGTGATGCACACTGATCACAGCCAGGGAGTACAAGGGTCAGCACAGGGTCCGTGTGTCCTCAGGGGAAGAGGAGGAAGGACTGAGGGCAGGGATCCTAGCTGAGGAGGGTCGCTTTGGGAAATGCCCTCATGACCTTAGGTCTCCAGCACAGGACGTGACACACCTGGGGGCAGTTCCCACATAATGAAGGCTGGCAGTGCCCACGACTGCAAAGCACTAACTAGTGCCACACAGACACTCCTCCAGGACCCACTCTGCAGTGTGGACTCTCTCTCTGTCACACACACACACACACACACACACACACACACACACACACACACACACAGCAATGTGAAGACATCAGTGAGCCAGCCAGGCAGCCAGCACATGAGAGGTAAAGATTCCCACAAGGAAAACACACTGAGGCGAGCCCCCTGCTCACCCCCACTCCCGTCCAACCTCCTGGGCAGGCTGAGCTGTGTCTCAGCACAACGAGACTGAACAGAGGGCCAGCGTGTGGACTTTCAGCAGGCCACCTACGTCAGCCAACATTGGAGGAATCAAACCCCTGGAGAAGAAGGAGTACGGAACTCTGTGTAGTTGCTACTTGAGGTCTGGGCTGACTCTGAATCTCCACATGCAGGTAGTGTGAGGCCAAGAGACCAAGCCAAAAGCAGCTCCCAAGAAGTTCAACAGAGATTGAGGCTAAAGAGATAAAAGTTGGAGTTCAGGACCAGTCAAGTAAGAGCAGTTCATTTAAACACCACTAGGAGTCCTGGTGTGGTACTGTGGGCTAATACGCCAGACTGCAAAGCCATTTGAACTGCAAGGTCAGCGGTTCAAGCTCACCAGCTGCTCCTCGGAAACCCTAGACAGGGTCGCTATGGGTCGGAACCAACTCGATGGCACTTAACAACAACAATAATGTCCTGGTATGGCGCTGTGGGTTAATGTGCTGGACTTCAAGGTTGGCTTGAATCTCAAGATCAGTGGTTCAAGCTCACCAGCCGCTCCTTGGAAACCCTACACAGGATCGCTGTGAGTCAGAACTAATTTGCTGGCACCTAACAGCAACAACAGGTCTTAGATGAGACACTGGAGAGGTTCACCCTAGAAGTCAGAGAAACCAGAAAGAGACCAGCTCTCAGCAAACCTAAACCACACACTTGAGTCCCGTTTGTGTCTGTCTGCCCAAAGACAACTGGATCCTCTCTGCAAGAGAGCCCGTGGTCGGTGACAGCCTGACGTCCCCTACACCCGACTCCTACACCGTGTCTGGCAGTTAATCCAAAATGACCAGGCTTACTAAGTTACAGGAGTGGTGGATGAAAGCTAAGACAGAGTGGCTGAGTGGAAACACCACTCGTGTTTACAGGTGGCTCTGATTCTGGAGCACTGAGATGTGACAGGTAGAATATGGTACAGAAAATAGATGAACTGAACTGTTAAAAAAAAAAGAAAAACTACAACTTTTACTATTGAACCATCCTAGAGCAGAAACCTAATTAAAATGAAGCATTCACTAGATGGTTAAATACCAAACTCGATATAACAGAAGAAAGAATTGGTGAGCTACAAGGTATGGTATTTTTTTAAAAATCATATATTGAAACACAGAGAGAAAAAAAAAAATCTAGGAAAGGATATAATTGGAGCCCTAGATTCACAGGAGAAAGAAATGGGCAGAAGCAATATTTGAAAAGATAATGGTTGAGCATCTTCCAAAACTGTCCAGATATTTCAAGCCCCAGAAAGAGGCCTTGTGAGAACTAGAGAAAATGCAAAGGAAACCACCCTTGGTCAATCACATCATTAAAAAAACGTGAAAATCAAATCAAGACACAGACAGTCTTTAGAGCAGATTAAAGCCAGAGAAGAAGGAGGGACAAGTGGACATCTAACTTCTTACAAAAAAATAATGGGAGGCAGACTGCTCCACAGTGTTAAAGAAATGTACTTCCAACCTAGAATTCGGCATCTGGTGGGAGTATTCTTCAGTAACCAAGGTGAAATGGAAACATTTTTAGAGAAGCAAAAACTGAGAATTTGTCATCAACAGAACTCTCTGTGGTGGCAAAGGAAAAATTACCACAGAGAGAAGAACATGTCTATGTCACTTCTACTAGAAGCTACACTGTCCTAAGTGTGTACACACCTAACAACTTCCAAATACACCCCGTGAAAACTGATGGAACGAAAAGAAAAATAGGAAACCCACAACCACAGCTGGGAATGGTAACGTGCCTTTTAAGTAACGGCTAAAGTGAAAGACAAAACTAAGAAAATGAGCAATTATGACACTCGCCAAGCACTGAAGAATATATGTTTCTCACAAGGTGGGAGGAGAAAGCAAACTGTGCCTCACAGACAACATGTTTGTGAACAGAGAAGAGTTGAATGAATCTACGATGGGCTGGTAGGATTAGTAAGTGAACGTGACCAAGTATTGGACAGAAACAGTAGTTTCGTGGACAAGAAGACTTTGTATAAGGGTAAGTCAAAAAGTCTTGCTCCTAGGATTCCCCTCACACATGCACGTTTATTTCAAAGACAATGTTTTTCAACATGTCTCCGTGATCAGTGGATGACTGAAGACAAGTTTTCTTAGTCTCGTTACTGCATCAGCTGCTGTGTGCTGCTCAGTCAGCCCCGACTCCACATAACAGAACAAAACACTGCCCGGTCCTGTGGCTTCCTCATTACTGTTCTCTTTGAGTCCATTTTTGCTGCCATTATGACAATTCTTCTAGGTGGTCTTTCTCTTGTTCGTTGAGGAGCAGCTGGTGGCTTTGAACTTCCAACCTTGAGGTTCAAACCAACTTCTTGGTCCAGTACATTATCGTGCAGCGCCACACCAGGAATCCTTCAATTTAACAACCCGAGGGTCGAGGTTTTTTCTCCAGTTCTTTCAGCTAGAAAAATGCTGAGCATGTTCTTCCCTTTTGGTTTGTAACTTCAGGTCACACATTTACTCTCTTCTTGAGCTGCCCTTTGAAATATTCTGTTCAGCTCTTTTACTTCATTATTTCTGGCAGTTGCTTTGGCTTCTCTCTGTTCAAGAGCAAGTTTCAGAGTCTCTTCTGACATCCACATCTGTCTTTTTTTCTTTCCTGTCTTTTTAATGACCTTTTGCTTTCTTCCTGTATGGTGTCCTTGGTGTCATCGCACATCTCCTCTGGTCTTTGGTCATTAGTGCCGAGTGCAGCAAATATGTTCCTGAGACGGTTTCTAAATTCAGGTGAGATGTATTCAAGGTGATACTTTGATTCTTGTGGAGATGTTTGACTTTTCCTTCAGCTTCAGTCTGAACTTGCATATAAGCAATTGGTCTTTTGTGCAGTCTGCCCCTGCCTTGTTTTGGCTGATGACATGGAGCGTTCCCATCATCTTTTCCCACAGATGACATTAGCTTGACTCCTTTGCATCTCGTTTGGGGAGGTATATGAGTACAGTCACTTTTTAAAAGAGATAATTTGCGATGAAGAAGCCATTGGTTTTGCAAAATTCTGTTATTCAATTGCCAGTATCATGTCTATTACCAAAGCCACATTTTTTACTTGGATTTCTGGTGTGACACTAACTCCATGGCACTTGACAACAACAACAACAACATCCTTGCTCTGTTCCCAACATTCACATGCCTATAAGCAGTGATTATCTTGATTGCATATTTGATCAATTTCAGACTGAAGAAGTTGGTTGTTGTTAAATATTGGGTTGAGTCGGTTCTGACTCATTGCAAACCTGTATAGTGTTTCCAAGGAGCGGCTGATGTGTTTGAACTACTGACCTTGTGGTGCAGTGCATTATCCTGCAGCACACACCAGACTCTTGGTTCATTTCATCATTACTGGCTTTAGTGGTTGGCTCATACATTGGACTACTAGTGGTGTTAACTGGTCTGCCTTGTAGGCGGATGGATATTCCCTAACACAGACAGAACATTCACTTCAAGACTGATCTTGGAATGTTCTTTCTGATGATGACTGTGATGCCATTGGTCTTCAGTTTGTCCTTCCACATGACTGTCAGATTCAAGATGGCCAGTTTCAGCTCGCTAATCCTAGGAGACCCATCTTTTTGCGTTTCATTTCATTCTTGGCGACTTCCAATGTTCCTAGATTCATACTTTGTTCATTCCACATTCTGATTATTAATGGATGTTTGCAGCTGTTTCTTCTCCTTTTAAGTTGTGCCCAATAAGCAAGTGAAGGTCCTGAGGGTTTGCTAAATCCATGTCATTCGGGTTAACTCTACTTTGAGGAGGCAGCTCTTCCCTAGTTGCATTTTGAGTGCCTTGCAACCTGAGGGGCTTATCTTCCAGCACTGTCTCTGACAATGTTCTGGTGGTCTTCATAAGGCTTTAGTGGCTAAACATTCAAAAGTGGTCTTCCTCTCCTCCTTCATAGTCTGTCGTAATTTGGAAGCTCATCTAAAACCTGTCCCCCATGGGTGACCCTTCTGGTGTGTGAATACCAGTAGCATAGCTTCTGGCATCAACCACCACAGAACAAAAATGAGTACTGGTTGTCTCGTTGTCATTGTTGTTAGGTGCCATCAAGTTGGTACCGACCCATAGTGACCTTATGCACAGCAGAACAAAACACTGCCCGGTCCTGGGCCAACCTCACTACTGTTGCCACGCTCGAGTCCATCTATGCTTCCATTTGGCCAGTCTATCTTGTTGGGGGTCTTCCTCTTTTTCTCTGACTCCCCATCTTACCAAACATGATATCCTTCTCCAGTGACTGGTCCCTCCTGACAATATGTCTGAAGTATGAGAGACAAAGTCTGGCCTTCCTGGCCTCAAAGGAATACTCTGGCTGCACTTCTTCCAACACAGATCTGTTAGTTCTTTTGGCAGCCCATGGCACTTTGAATATTCTCCTCCAACACCATAACTGAAAAGCATCAATTCTTCTATGGTCTTCCTTATTCACTGTCCAGCTTTCACTTGCATATGAGGTTGTTGAAAATAACCATGGCTAGAGTCAGGCGCACCTTAGTCCTCAAG